CTCTCCTCAGTGGTGCCAAACAACAAGGCAAGAGGCAATGGGCAGAAAGTGATGCACAGAAGTTCCACCTGAACATGAGGAAGAACTTCTGTAGTGTGCAGTGATTGCACACTGGAACAGGCTGCCCAGGGAGGGTGGGGAGTGTCCCTCACTGGAGATGTTCAAGAACCATTTGGACACAACCCTGTGCCATGTGATCTGGGATGACCATGCTTGAGCAAGGGAGGTTGGACCAGATGCCCCCCTGTGGTCCCATTCAACCTGACCCATTCCATGAAATGCACAAACCGAATAATAAAGGAAGCTTTAATGTTAGTGTTTTATTTACAAGTATAACACTGCAATGATTATTGGTGAAATACGCTTTAATTTTATTCCTGAATCTAAAAAAGAAAGGGCATCCATCTAGATCCTGATGATCACAGCAGCCTCTTGTAAACTTAAAGAAAGCAGTTGGAAATCAATTAGGGCACCTATTTCCAAAGAAAGAAAAACCCAAATGATGCTTTTCACCCCTCCAGTTCCACAGTGGTTAGTATGAACTTTGCCATGAGTTTGCCTCAAAATATTTTGCATAGTGGATCAAAACACTTTCAATATTTCCTATCATTAAATTGCTTTGAACAAGAAGATTTCCTAGACATTAATTCTTAACACTAGTAAGTAGATTTTGAACCTAAACATGTTGAAGTGAAAACAATGGGGGGGGAGGGGAGGGAGAATTAAATCCTGGCATGTAAATACTCAGGAAGCTTTTGTTTTTCTTTAAATATACAACAGAAGCAAAGAAAGATGCTGAATTCTGAAGCGAACCTACTCTAAACTTGCCTCCCTCACAGCAGTGCAGTTGCTGTTCTATTGGTGATAAAATCTTCTCCTGTGAAATGCAATTATTAGTTTAAAACCCATTGAGCTGATGAGATCCCCCAACCCAAGAGGAATAGATTTCTTAACTACAGCTGTGACCAGCTGGCTGCTAAACAGAAAAAGGACTGCTATTGCCATCTCTGTGATGAGGCTCCAGGGGCAGTGCTGTGGTTGCTGGCACCCTTCCTGAGGCTGAGAATCACATCAAACCAAGCAAAACCCTTTGTGACTGGAGACCAGTTTGTTTTTGTGGACTAACAGGGTGACTGTAGGCACAAACACATTGATTCCAGCTCTCAAAGACTGTAATTTAAAGTTATCTGTGATTATATGGATCTTCCATCCACCCCACCAAATTATGCAACAAACCTATCAATACTTACATTGCTCTTAACTACACTTTAAAATAATCAGTGTAATCTACATAGACTACAAGCACATACGGAAAAAATCAAGCCATTAGAGACTAATCTACACACAGTTGAAAAAGTAATTTAACTACATCAGTTAAATTTAGAAGCTGATTTATTTAATCATTGCACAGGCAACCAAGATTTAAACCTCATCTTCAAGCAGATCCCTGTGCACTAGCTGCATAATTCAGAGAGAAGTTATTATGATGCCAATCACAGAAAAGTTCAGAGAAGAGGCCAATGACTGCATTTATTTGCAGAAATGAACATTTCCCAGTCTCAGACAGTGATAACAAAGAATATTTCTATATGTGATGAGCATGCTAAGGCTCTCACAGTGCAGACACCAGTTTGAATACACAAAGAGAAGAAATTTGCTAACATCAAACCCATTTTGCCAGGCTGCAATTTAATCCAACTCCACGCAGTCAAGTCCAAAATGTAAATAAGTGCATACTGAAAAGAGTTTAACCCCAGACAGGCAAGAGCTAAGCCCAAAAACTCAGCCTCTCCTAACAACAAAATCAGATAGGAAACAAGAAAAGGCTCATCAAAAATGTGTGTACCTGAAGATGGAAAGCTGTGATCACCTCTCTACCATGTTTTAAGTTAGTCTCTCCCAAAACCAGTTCCACCTCATTTTGGCTTTACTGTTTGTAATGCAAGAATTCTGCAAGACTTCTGCCTTTCTCATAGGTCTTTTTCCACCCCAGGAGCCCACTGGGAAAACACTGTCCTGCTACTCCCCCCATCCACTGCCACACAATTGGTGATCCACAGTTTTTGGCTGGTGAAGTAGTCCAAAAACCCTCCACCATTCTCCAGAGACTACTTCTCTCCTGCCCAACCTACTTTTCACATTCAGTCTGTCCCATTCTGAAAAGCTTCTTTCTTTCAGGGGAATATTCTTAACAGTTTGTTTTAAATAAAACATTTAAGTTACTAAATAACTGTATAATTAGCAGCCATGAAGGTGAAAGGATACAGATCACATGACTGAAAAGTCAGACAGTACAGGCAAAAAAGTCTTGGCACATAAATTTGGTTTAACCCTGACTGAAAATATCCAAGCTGCTTTCCCAACAGAAGTATTTCTAAAGACTGGAGTATTATCCACACAGCAATCACAAATTTAATTTTAACATCTTTTTTCAAAACATGTAACTGAATACACTGTATTTTTATCTGCCAAAATAAGGGTAAAGGTCTATTTCTTAGAATTGCGTGTATATGATGACAAAAGAATTCCTCTGGTAGTCTACTGAATTGACAGCTGGGGCTAGTAAGCATCAGAGGCTGTTTTCAAGCCCTACATCTGGTATTTCACTCCTCACTGCACGTTCTCTAACTTTCTTTGTGGAAGACACTTTTGTACTGTAGTGTTGTAGGTTTCATATAATATTTAATCTAGTGTTTTTATCAATCTGACAACTTTTGGGGGCATTTACATTGGCAAAACACAGTAGGAAATCCAGAGAAACAAGACAAGGCACAACTATAATCCAAGTGACAAAATGAGTGACAATTGCAAATTCAAATGCCTTACTACACATACATGCAGGTGAATTAACCTGTTGAAATTTTTTATTGACTTGAAAGTGAAATTCTTGGAATGGAAATTTTAAAAGAAAATATATTACATTTCTGTAGAAATCAATCATTATTTTAAATACAAGTTTCTCATTTTATTGGTCAGGTAGTTTCCAAATTTTATGTCCAATCCAAATGTTTGTGATACATGAATGATCAATGTTCGACCAAAAATTAGAATTTGTTCACTAGAATAAGGTTTTAATATTTTTTAAAAAAACTTAAAGGTTGATATTTCCAAGTATGTTTAGCATTGTGCTTAGACACCCATCAGTTACATTAAATTCCAGACTAGTTAAACACTTGACACTTCAATTAAACTCTACATGAAAGCTGGGCTTAAACTGCACAAAGAAGCACAAAATACTTTATAAAACTACACTAAGAATGAACAGCAAATAGCTCAAAATAATTTTTGAAGCTTTATTAATAAATATAACCCAGGTTAAATATTCCAAAACCAAGGTTTTTATTCCTGTAGTAACTAATTTCTATAGCTTCCCATAAATAAAATCAATGATGTTTCCATGCACATGATGCTTTTCATTTCAATTGAAATATAACAGTGCTGTAACATTCACTGCTTCATTAAATAATAAGCAATGTGCTAATCTAATAATCTAGTAGTGAACTGAGAAAATTTTCAATATGTATATTTAGTTTACCCTTTTTTTTCCTACAGACTACTTACTTTCCTTGACACACTTCCTCCACTTTTGACCATTACAGCAAGACACCTTTTTTCCAAACAATTTCAGTATATAACCATTGATTTACCTTTCCATTTAATGGGTAATGCAAGAGGGGTAAAGGAAGAAAGAGTGGGTTTTCTTTCACCCTTCTCCTTCAAAAGCTGTTACAATAACCCTCCCACTCCTTATTGCTTCCTTATTCCTTCATTCCTCAAAACAGTTTCCTAACTTCAAATTGTGAATGCACACATTTTCCAGAATTCTTCTTTATCTTAACTTAAAGTACAATCTCTTGCAGAACATGCACGCTGAAAATCATCTCGAGTATCATCAAGCATATTCTCAGAACACAGAAATGAAGCATAAGTGAATTTCAGCTGAGGGGGAAAGTGTGGCAAAGGATCATAGTCAGGGTTATAGACAGAGTCTATAGGACACAGTTCTAGGACACAAGAGAATAGTATCCTGAACAGTCTCCTAAATCACTGCTGCATACTTTACTGTCTCTCAGAGACCCTGAAGCAAGGCTGGCCGTGGTTTCTGCCAAAGGCAGCACTGCGGTGTGCAATGCCGGAAGAAAACAGCCTCTCCTACAGGTAGCTAATACTACTTTTAACCTCATCCTCTCAGAAGGAAGAACAACAAATCTGCTCTTCAGCTTCTTCCCCTGCTCAAAAACTTCCTCTCTCCCACTGCAAATGCCAACAGGCTGCAGCTCCCTGTAAATACACACATGCATACATTTATCAGCTTTACTTATCGTAACAAAATTGTCTGCACCTTGCCAGCAGTCCTCCATTAGCACCCCCAGGGGTGTCCCACCTCTTATGTCACACATGAGGGAAGTGCCACTCTTCCAGCAATGCCAACAGATAATCCTTATCTAAATTTCCCTGGTGTTGAGTGTGGCAGTGAGACAGACTGGAGGCAGGGAAATATTTCCCCACACAGCTAGTTTAATATCAATAAATACAAATCTTTTATTATCCATTGCACTTTGATGCCAGCAAACATTCAACTTCAGCAGACTTAGTTTAAATCTCTTAGACAACACATCAACAAAGTACAGATTATACAGGGTAAAAGTATTTAACAGATGCAAATTTATAAATCCAGTAGCTCACGAACAACCATGAATAAAGTAAATTTATTTCAGTTTCTACACAATAAGATTAGTATTTAAATGCTACCAGTCTCCTGGGTGAGCAATGCTTTTGACATTTGTTTCAGGGCCTAATACAGCACATCTTCAATATCACAAAAATATAAACCTCCTTCCCAAGGCTAACTCAAAACCTTCTGGAAAAGTTTCTAAAATTCATCACTGATGTTCAGTTTGAGGGACTTATCACAGTCGTCCAAGCTATTTGTAATAGACTCACACAAATGCAAAGTAAGTGACAAGGAATTTCAGCAAGAGCTCTCTTGAACAACTTACCATTTAAAAAGGAGCGTGGAATATCCGTACTGTTTATGCCTTTGAGAAGACAGCTGTTCTCTGACTTCCTGGCACACTCAGGTGGCTTTTTCTGCAAACAAAGACAAATCTAACTTAGTCTTTCAGTAACAGAATAATTAAAAATATGCATTAAAAGTGGGGCTCGGTTCAGTAATCAGCTAAAAAAAAACTTAGTAAAATATGCATGAGTAGAATCCAGACAGTTTTAACCATTTTGTGCTAAATATTTAATGATACAGCTTAATTTTTGTCAAGGTAACAAAATAGCTTGTGTTATTTTATAATCAATTTTTAAATAGAAATATCAGCAGAGAAAGTAACATTTACTCACTTGAAGACTGCGGGGATGGAAAAATGATGTAACACCCTACAGTAATGCACAATAAAACAGCAGTCTTAAATCCCTCTGAGACCCTTCACAGCAAATTAAATATTACTGAACAGAAACCCACTAAAACAGACTAAAATAAGCAGTGAGGATCTCCTGCAAAAATGAAGTAATGAGATGTTTTCATGAAAATATTACAGTTCCTAGCATCAAGAGAACACTATCACTTATAGATTAGCATTTAGTCATACACGAAATTTTTATAAATTTAGGGGTTTTGCAGTTAAGATATAAATGCCCTTTCTGCAAGAACTATATAAAAATGATCTCTAAAACAGATCACTTGCTTAGAGGAGGCTGATACTATTACCAGAATTTTAAAGATGTGCATCTATGCGGTTTTTGCCTAAATATTTTAGACAATTAAAATTTACAAGAGGAAAAAAACTTCTTTATCTCAAGGACACAATTATAAACCGTGATGTGTAAGAAAAAAAAAGCATTTAGAAGAGCAAAACACTGTTAAAGTCACAACAGATTTCTCAAAGGCAAGACAGCAGTGTCCTCCTTGCTCACTGTCACTACCTGCCTTGCTCACATTCCTTCATTCTCCCTCTGAATACCACAGCTTTAAGGTGCCCAGACCTTGATTCCACTAACCACTGGTGCAGTAACCACCTATTCCAAATAAAATATTGTCCTCTAGTTAACTTGCTCACAAAATCTACCAGTTGGCCAAGGTCTTGGTCCTCACTTAAGGGTTTATATGCTTAGAGAAAAATTAAAGAGACACATTACAAAGGCTCCCATACATACAATTCATTCATGTTCTCATTACCAGGACAGATGTACTAGATGGGGAAAGCTATTTGCCTAAGTTAACATAAGAAGGATGTGGACCTGCTGTAGGGATTCCAGGAGGGCCACAATGATTATTAGAGGGGCTAGAGCACCTTGCCCTATGAAGACAGGATCCTAGACAAGAGGAGGCTCCAGGGAGATCTTTCAGCAACTTCTAGTACCAAGAGGAGACCAACAAGAGAGCTAGAGATGGACTTTTCACAAGGACTTGGAATGAAAAGGCAAGAGGGAATGGCTTTAAACTGAAAGAGGGTATGTTTAGGCTATATATTGGAAAGAAGTTCTTCACTGTGAGGGTAGTGAGACTGGAATGGGTTGCCCAGAGAAATTATGGAAGTGTTCAAGAGCATCTTGGATAGGGCTTTGAGCAGCCTGGCCTACTGGAAAGTGCTCTGCCCATGGCAATGGCATTGAAACTAGATATTCTTCCTGATTCCCTTCAACCCAAGCCTTTCTGTGATCCTGTAAGTGACTTCAACCAGCAGTGATTTAAGTATGCCTGTGGCTTAGGAAACAGTACATGTGCTTTAGAGCAAACAGCACTACATTAACAACACTATGGAACAGATATCATCGAGCACTTGCGGTACAAGGTGACTGGAACTTTATAGAGATCTTAAACCCTCCAGTACTACCAAGGTGTCTGAGAATGTCTTTACACATTCCAATATCCTCAGCAGCAAAGGCACTTTGGGAAGTTCTCAGTTCCCCACATGAGTGACACATTTTTGTCCACATGCTACAGTTTACTTCCATCATTTACATTTACACACTGTCTGCAGTGCTGCGCTACATAACTAGGATCCCTGAAGCCATTTTGTGATGAAAGAACTCACTCAGATCAACAATACAGAACCTACAAAGGGATGGAAAGAAAACTGAGAACTACCATGCCATGAAGACAAATCTCAGCTTTCACAGTGAAATCAAATCAACTATCTTGACGTATATTTCAGTATAAATCCTTACCTGGCCAAATAAAAACATGAAGATGTGGTCAATGTCAAGCAGTTTTATATTTACTTTTTTTTGCAATCAGATTTTTAATATTTTTTTAAGTAGAATATTGAAAAAGGCCCAGGATAAGCCAAAGTGTTGGACTCTCTCTGAGTTCCACATTCAAGATACACAGCTATGATGAAAACACAAGATACAGGAAGGAAAATTTGTTTTGGTACACCGCTAACAGTCCAGCAATACCTATCTACTGCCCAACTGTGAAAACACACACATTCCCTTTTGAATGGATTCTTTCTTTCCCATGAAATCCCCAAGAGGGAAAAAACCAAAAGCACTATAAAAAGATTCTTACTCATTATCAAGAACATCACTGACTCCTCTGCCAAGTGCCCCATTTGACACATTCATTGACTAAATTACAGAAAGTACTAAACAGTTTCAACAGGATAAGAATTTAGACAAGCAGAATGTGTAACACTGACTTCTGGTAAGAAATTTACATCCAGCTGAATTTTGTTTAAAATCAATGTTTTAAAGCTTTCTAAACAAAACTCCGAGGAATGAGAATATTATAGGCAAGCAATTTGAAGAACAAGCTATATGGCACACAGAGGATTACTTCAGAAATCCACAGGAAAAAAACATAAAGGATTTAATGCAAGACATAACTTTTACACAGATTGAGGATTAAAAGTATCCAAATGGTAGGTCATCATGAAAATGGTGAAAAAAGGATTTTATTTTGAAGTCTGCTTTCTGGGGTAGGGTTTTTAAAATATATTTCCATATATGGGGACCCAAAGTTTACCACTATAGTTTGAATTCAAGTAACTGCATTACCAATGCATAGAGACAAAAAAGGAAGTGGTTTAAAACTTCAGTACTGGGTTGCCTTGTTAAATTTCTGCATGTATTTAATCTTAAAATATGAAATTCAATCTTAGAAACTACTGTAACTCTGCAACACACATTTGGAAAACCCAGACAGGTTCTGAAGCCTTCAAAGAGTGGAACCACACATCAATTAGTGGCTAGGTCCCCCTTGATCTTATGTTCTTCTACAGTGGGATGGGGGCTTTTCTGTAAAAGAGCCATACAATCAGTTACTTAAAACTGAGGGGCCTCTTAGGAGCACATCTTAGGCAGCTTTTCTAAGATTGATCAAGACAACTCAAAAGTTTCTTATTTTAAACTAGACTATCTTTAAATCTCTAAACTAGATTGCTCCATATCCCAGTCTTAGGTTCGAGCACAGAACAGGAGCAGCATAAAGACATGGCAACTCATGTTTTCCAGGTGGTCTTTAATTAAAGATTCACTCACTGTTGTCTAATCCATGAGCCTCTGCAGCATCCAGAAATGCAAAATTACTTGGGATAAACACTATACTTGGAGTGCAGAGAGCAACCTACCCTTTGACAAGCCCTCAAGGGATACTTTCCCACTCTGCATCTTCTTGAGAACCACTCTGACAATCAGACTTAGTCACCACACCCAGTGTGCCCTTTGCCACCAATTCTGTCCAAGGAAAACAAGTTCAAGTTCTGGAAATTTTTCTTCAGAGCACAGACAGATAAAATAAAAAAATCCAACCTGTGTGGAGTGCTGGTGTCTCTTTTATTCCATTTCACTTGCTGGATTATGGTACAAATATTCCCTACTTGACTGAGTATAGCAGTCCTTCAGTACTGGACAGAGGAAACCCATCTAACAGCAGGCTTGCAAAATCCTAAACATCCTGTGGAATTTATCTGAGGTTAAACACTTGATCTTCAGAGATTTTGCAATCCACAAAAGCCAGCCCATCAAGCCTACAAGCCAGCCAGTAACAGCAGTGGCTTGTCAGACATTCTTTGCTGGTAGGAAGCAGGACCATCCCTACATCTATCACCTCTCTGGTGTCTCAACAAGAGGCCTGCCCAGGACTACACTCTCTTCTTATGGTCAGCACTGACTCTTCACTGCAAATGAAGCCAAACAAAGATTATACCACAAATTACTAGTAGCAACCACAAGAGACAGGAAGCAGCGCTCTTGTCTTTGATCCAAAAAGAGAGGGTTCTTCCACCACCAGGAAAGACAAAAGGCCAATACCTCTGAAAAGGAGCAGATTTCAGATGGGATATCAATATCAAAATGTTTTCAAACACTCGGAAAGGTTTGCTGGCACAATTCACCATCCCTAAATTCTTTGCAGATAACAACCCTAATATCATAGTACAAGTCTTCTGTACTATCAGCCTGCTCTTTCTCCCAGTACAGCCCTGCACTCTTCTCCAGAAGGTCAGAGTACACATCTCTACAGAATAGCAAAGAGCTCCCTCCTAGCTCCACTCCTAGCCTGTAGAGATGTCTCCCTAATGCTTCACAAAAGGAATTCTTATGCCTTTACTCAAGTGGATGCCCTCTCTCATGTAACAACACTAAAAATGGGTCATCCTCAGCAGACAGCATCTCTCATTTCAGTTGTTACCCACCCAGCATTACATAGCACAGTTTTTCAATTACTAATATTTAAGAATATGTTTCTTGAAATAGAAAAGTCCCTTAAATTGTGCTTTCTGGAGCATTCAACCTCACTTCTTGTTGTTAGCAGGCACTGCTAAAAAGCATGAACATCTAAGACAGGTGCTTTATGTAAGTACTCCAGACAGAAAATCTGTGGGTTCATTAAGGGGATTAGTCCAAGGCTAGGGGATGTTACTTTCAAGTTAAATGCTTCATTAAAGTACCTGCATTTGGTGACAAAAATCAATCAAAAAATATTGTCAGGTTATGAACAGCCAACATTCAAATCAAATAACAGATTTCACCTTGTGTTGAACAAGACTTAATATTTTCTTCACTCATACATCTCCAGAAATAGCAGAGGCTCATGCAGGTTGTACTCTACAGTTTCACAGTGTTAGAGAGAAGTGGCA